TCGAAATGTTAATAGACGCCAAATAAACAATCGAAGAAAAAGACAGAAAAAAACACAAAATACTAATTAATTTCGTTTTCACTATACGGAATGGATTATTTAAAAAACTAAATTAGCAATAATTGATAAATTTGATAATAATAAGAGTAAAATAATTTATTAGTAAAATAATTAATTACTGCGTAATCCGAATTCGCGACGACACGTCCACTCCACACAATTTTCAACTGTAGACTAACGACATGCGCATTGCGTTGCGCACTACGTTGCGCATTGCGATGCGCAATGATTCGTCCCGCGTCTCGAATTAAGCGACATTCTGATTGGCTGGCTCATGATGCTTATTTTTTTATTCAAAAATCGCGCAAAAAATTGAAATATAATATAATATATATATTATTTGTTGTTGCTTATAAAATTGGAATTTTGTAAAAATCTATTTATTGGAAAAAAAAATTATTAATAAAATTATTAATTTAACAAGATAATAAAATAATTATAAATGCAAAGAAGAAATTCAATAAAAAGATTAATTAAATTTAAATAAAAGTAAAAAAACAAAAGAGAAATTTAACAAAAAACTTTAATAAATTTATAAAAATTGAAAAAATAAAAAGAGAACATAATATAAAAATAACTGAATTTAAAATAATCAAAACAGAAGACTTATGAATGTAATTTCCATATTTTCATATTTTTATTTTTCCATATTTTCATAATCTTTACATATTTTCTTTCTTCTTTCTATCGAACATTCAGAAAATTTAGATTTAAAAAACATTTTTCAGAAAATATTATTTTAAAAATTGACTATTATCAATTTTTTAAATAATAAAAAATTGTATATAAAAAAAATATATATTTTCAAATTATTATTTAAACTAGAAATATTAATATTTGTGGTAAATGTTTATTATAAAAATATATAAACTATTTAAAATAATAAAATAAAAACGATTGAATGAAAATAGAATAAATACAAGCAAAAATCTTCAAAACTTCTTTTTGAAAAAGTACAATTCATATTGAAATTTTTCTTTTTGAAACTTAACAATTAAATAATAATCTGTATAAAATAAGAATTTTTTAAATAAAAAACACATAAAATTAATTAATATATAAAATTAACTAATTATATTAAACTCAAAACACTAAGTAATTTCATCATTACAATAATAAATAAATTATTAAATAAAAAAAATAATAGTAAATTATAAATTCGACAATTAAATATAAATAAAATTATTTATTTTGTAGTCGAATCACTGAAATTAAAATCTTATGTCTTGTCATGATAATAACTTTGATGCGCACCAAAATGAATAATATCTTTCTAATTGGTTGATCATAAGCCAATTTATTATCGATTTATTCGATTGGAAGTATATTATTTTTCAAAAAATGTCGAGAGATGGCGCTAAGAGTCTATTCTTATTATATCTCTATCTATCACTATTTTCTATTCTTTCTTTTTGTATTTCATTTGCGACATTTTTAAGATGGCGCTGATTACAATATTTGTATCTTATTCTTCTTGCCTTACTATTTATTATCTTTATTTATATTTCATCTGAAAAATGTGTTAAAGAAATTTCAATATCTAATTAATATTATTATTTTGTTTAAATCTAAAAATAATTTATTTCATTCGTCTATTTATTGCAATTTTTATATATTGTAAATATATACGTTTTATATATATTTATTTTTTATATTATATACATTCTTTTATTCTTTTATTATTTTTATCTATTAATATTATATAATTTATTATTAATATTGTAAGAGATATTTATATTTTATATATATATAAATTTTTATATATCATTGCATGTGATATAAGAAAATAACGGAATTCAGTGATTTCAAAATTCTTATGATATGAAATAATATTTCATCTATGATAATAATAAGAAACTTTATATCACTTGTGTAAAAATTACATTACAAATTTATTCATTATATATTTCAAAAAAATATTTAATAATTAAAATTAAAGAAAAAAAAATAGATTAAGATAAATTATTTAAATTTTGAATATAATCATTTCTTGAACTTATATTTTATTATATTAAAACTTATATTTTTTAGTATTTTTCGTTAAATATTATTATTAAAAAATACAAAAAACAAATTAAAAATTTTATGTCCTATAAAATTAAGTTTATTCATATTTTTAACGTGCTTTTTTTGTTATAATTGAATTGTCATAATATTAAAATATATTTTTTAATATATTTTAATGTATTTTAATATATTTTCTATTTCATTATATTATATGTTTTTTGTAAATTTAAAAATTTATTTGAAATTATGAAATAATAATAATAATGAAATAATAATATGATAAAGTAATACAGCAGCGACATCTTCCGCAAAATAAATCAATAAATTCTAATTTACAAATAAAATTTAGATTAACATTTTTATTACTTTAAGAAAAAAGTGCAATATTTTTATGTTTATTTTGTTAGTATATTTATCATTTCATCAATTAATATTAAGTTGAAAATATAATATTATTTTTTCCGTAATATATGAAAATAAATTATATTATTATTCTCCATACATAATAAAATACTAACATATAAAAAATTTATTTAAAAAATAGAAAAATCCTCAACTTTCACTATAATTTTAGGATTTCTACTGGTAACTACTGCAATCCGTTCTCAGTATACTTTCACTAACAGCGCTTATATTACAGTGTTATATTACCATATTATTTACAAAAATTACAGTATAAAAATTTCAAATTAGAATAATCGAATTTAGAAACAATTTAGTGTAAGATTTTATAATAACTACTTATTATTTCATGATAAATAATTTTATATTATATATATAAATAATATAATATTTTACTATGAAATAATCAAATGTAAAGAATTATATATTTGAAAATATGTTTCTCTTAAAGAAAAATTTGTCACTTCTTTTACATACTTCATTGAAGCAACTACATACTTCAAATATATTGTAAGTAACATATATATTAAATTTTATAAAATTATTAAAAAATTTAAAATTAAAAAAATATTAAAGACTAATTATTAAAAATTAATAGTAATAAATAATTAGAAAAACTAATTAGTATTTCTACAAGTTTCTTAATATAACTTTTTAACAGATAATAAAAAATATAATTCACATATTCACATATATTTTAGACAAAACGCTATAATAATAGATGGTAAAAACATAGCTAATAAAATACAAAAT